TACTACTAATTGTAAAATTTTAAATTTCAAATTAATTATTGTAAATTGTAAAAATGCTATTTTTTCATATCTTACATGTATGATCATATATTCCATATACGTGTATATACGAGTATATATATATATATATATATATATATATATATATATAAATTTATATATACTTATACATTATTTGTTAAATAATCTGAGTCTTTACTATATAATAGCAATCTATGAAAAATATACGCCTGCAGTTTCAGCATACATACTAACATTATTTTCTATGATTTGAATATGATTGTTTATTTTTACAAATACATTGCAATCGTATTAGTATGGGCTAGTTGTAGTTTAGTGGTAAGATCCTTGGTCTTGCAGCCCAAGGTTCCATGTTCGATACTCACTTTCAACTGCCTGATATCAAGCAGTAGAAATGTCAATTTTCACTTGAAAATCTAGCCCTTTCCCGGCATTGCTGCATGAAATTAAAAATATACAAAAACTATTGGAAAAATCTGAAAATAAAAATGTATCAACTATAGATAGGCTAACCTTTTGATTGTCTAAATATAGTGACGTTATTAAGGAGAGGGTTTATTTATTTACAACAGAGCTTAGAGCTTTTATGTTTTAATTACTATTCAAAAATAAGAAAAACTTGTGATAGTATGAAATTTTCATCTTTATTGGTACTATGTACAATTAACTATGTACTATGTATTGACAATTATAATTATACATAGGAAAATTGAAATTTTATTATGTTATCAAAAAATCAGATAATAATCAAAAGTATTTAAATATTTTGACTATTATAAATTGTTTTATTTAATTTTTTATTATAACTATTAATGCATTTTATTTGATTAAGAATTCCTGTGCGAAGGGACAATCTCGCAACTTGTTCTGGATATTTCTATTTGCGCAAATCATTTTAATTACAATTTATAATAACTATAACGACTGTAAGTTTATAATAAATTGCATATACTAAGAGTAAACATTATGGTTCCACATTCAAAATATTCTCCTTCTCTGATTTTTAAATATTCAAATATAGAAATTCTAACAAGGTCCGAAATATTGAAATCATACATTTTATGTCAAGTTATTTTGTTATGATGGCCTTCATATTTTTTGTATAGTTTTTTTCTAGAGACGGTCTCCTCTTAATGACTTGAATGATCTCTTTAAGGTATAATAGATTTTGTATGAACCCTTATATGCGATAGAAAGAAAAACTAAAACGAACCGAAACATTAAATAAATATATGTTTTAAAATATGTACATTCCTTAGCACAGGTATGATACCTGGATGTAAATGCGTTTGAGAAAAAAATATATATCATAGCCGAAAACAGATATTCATATGGTATATATATATATATATATATATATATATATATATATATATATAGTAATGCTTACACGATTCAAGATCATATATATATATATATATACATATATATATATATATATATATATATATATATATATATATATAGTAATGCTTACACGATTCAAAACGAATTGTTTTAAAAATTCACAAAACAAATCAGATCAGACATAAGTATCATATATTTTCTAATTTCACTTCAACATTTTTTATGTAAAATGAAACATTTTTTGTTATATGCCTTTAACATTATATGTAACACTTTTATCTTCTAATTATATAAGTTTAATAATTTTAATTAAATTTAATGCAATTTAAATAAATAAATTAAATTAAATTGAATAATTTATAAATTTATATAATTTCTTAATTGTGGTTTATACTATACTATTAACTTCCCGTAAGGTAAGTCATTAAATTTCTGAATTTTGTAAATTATCAATGATTTGTTATTGATGAATATTTGTTGCACGTCTCAAAATCTGGGGAAATTCGACTGTTTTCTCGAAAGTTAATTGGCAGCCTCAATACATGATTTATATTTTCTCAGAAAATTTTAGTTTGGTATAAAAAATTAAAAGTTTATTCGAGAAATATCAGTTGGTAAAATATGATCCAGCTATTTTGCATAAATTAGAGTCGCAAAATATCAAAAATGTTATAATTTTCGTTAATCAACTAAATTATTTTCTAAGGGGGCGTTAATTAGTCACGTGAGGTTTTTAGGGGGAGGGGTGGGGGTTGATAAAAAATGACGAAATATCACGTGGGGGAGGGAGGGGTATAGTAAGACATCACGTGTATTTATTTTTTAACTGATTTTTTCAAATAATTCAAACATTTAAAAAAAATCAAATGTACAGTTTTATCACGTAACTAAAAATACACGTGATGATTGGTGGGGGGGGGGGTAATTTTGAATATCACCATGTATCACCAAGGGGGAAGGTGGGTCAAAAAATCCTTAAAAACTCGCTCACGTAATTAATGGACGCCCCCTAACACCGTTATAAGTTCATGCAACTTGCTTCAAGGCAAAATGACACAAGGACACTCACACCTAGTTCTAAAATATATATGACTATTTTTTTCTCGAATGTATTTTTTGTAATGAAATATGCGTTTTCAATGTATACGAATTTAATGCGTTGTTAAATAGGAAATAGAACAAACAACAGAATACTCAGTCAATAATAAATGCAGAATGTGATGTTTTAAGTAAAAAAGAGTTTCAGAAGCAATTAGCACATGCTAATTGGCGTAACGAATTTTGAGCCACAACATTGCTCGTGTTAAAAATCTAATTGGAAGAAAACATTAAGTTCTTGTCCCACTCTGCACAAGCAAATAATCAACTCGTATTTCATCACATAACATAATTAACAAGTATTAGTTGTGCTTCGGCTTTTTGGCTGTTTAGTCTCATCTGAATATATAGTGCAAAATCGAAAATATATATTGATGATTAATATAAAATAATCAATATGTTAATTTGCAATTCGAAAATAAAAACCCGCGAAACGACGTTTCGGACGAAATTGAGTTAGCTCGAGCGTGTGGTGTTCCGAAAACGATAAAATTTATTTGAGAGTGCTCGATTAATTTGGATCACAAGATGGATGACTACCAAATCGTGGAAAGGGTGCTAAATATGGCCCTGATGGGAGTATTATATTGCATGTATCACAAATTCCAGCGAATGTTGACAGAGCCCAATTGGAGTTTCCAACGGAAAATTCGTAAGTTTCGTAAATTCTAACGAGGCCAATCTCGTACGATCATGCGCTTGTAACGCACATGCAAAATTTGGCGGACACTAGAGATGTAATGGACAAATTTTAGAATTTGTAAAAATAAATAATGGTATATTATATCTCATGGCAAAATGCTGTAACATCCTGTAAAATATTAGAATAATATGTACTACCCTAAAACTTGAATTCCCAGGAAAATTTAACACATTTCAAAACAGAGTAAACAATATTTTGGAATTCTTTATAAAATAATGTTTGTTTTGGAAACTTGAAAATTTTGTCTTCTTTCAAGACTTTTCTTCATTTTTATTGGTTCGAAAAGTTTTCACGATTATATAATTTTGGAAATTTTAGAAACTAATGAAAATGATGATAAAAACTTTCAAGTTTTTCAATGCACTCGAGAAAAATTATGCATATTATCATAGTTTTTTCCATAAATATTCTGATAATTCTATATGTTTTGGCAGTTATTTATATTTAGTTGTAAAATGTTTCTAACCAATTTTTTTGTAAACAAAATAAAAACTAGTTGTGTATGGCATCGTGCCTTAAGGCAAATTGCTGGAACTTCCCGTACCGTAATGAAATATTCGAGGATTATTAAATGTTTTCAAATAGGTTATTATAAATACTTTAACCTATGTATGTTTACATCAAATTTAAAATGAAGGACGTTGTTTAATATTTATAAGAATTATATAAACTGAAAGTTAAAATTATTTATTTGAAGTATATTAGTGAGCTTTAAAACTTTAGCCAGAATTAAAATTGAAATCTGAATTATTTTCCATATTCAAAAAAAAAATTAAGCAAAAAGTTTTTTGAATCATTCAAATCGGATGCTCAGTTTTCTCGAAATCTGCCATTTTTTGCATATTTTGCACGGTATCTCCAAACGACTGGATTTGGCAAAAACTAATCACCACTTCTCCTCATCATTACAAATTGAATGTTTTTTGGATCATTCAAATTGGATGTTCCGTTTTCCCAAAAACTCGATTTCTATTTTCTGCACTCTTTGCTCCGTATTTCCGTAACGGCTGGACCTGCTTTTGCCAAAAATTAATCATCACATCTCCCTATCAATAGGAATCGAAGGTTTTTTGAATCATTCAAATCGGTTGATCCGTGCGCCCGAAAACGTGGACACACACACACACACACATTCATTTTTTCTGAGGTTAAGAAGCAATATGTTAAGAAACCTTCAAAAGGTGAAGAAATGCAAAAATTTTCATTTTCGATTATCGGCCATCATTTCATTTTTGATTTTGAACCATTCAAATAAGATTAACTAGAATTTCTAAAAAGTACCAGAGCCTAAAATGCATTCATACTTATGAATGCCAGAAACTAACTAGAATTTAGTTAAGTTCTATTTAGAATCTTTTTAAAAGTTAAAAATTATAGCTATCATCAGCTATAAATGATTTATTATGTGTGTATATTGAATTTGATTTGTATCTAGTAATTGTGGAAAAGTAGCTGATAAATATTAATAACATATGAATATTTATTTTAATTGTTTGCATTTTATTTTTATTTTGATTCGGGGCCCTGTCAATGCACGCTGCGCCCCTGATCTGGTTATTTGAAAAAGTTATTCATAAACCGCAAGCATGTAATACTTCAATGTATATGCTCTGAGAGCAAATAATAAAGTTAATGAATGAGTCTTTTCCAGAATATATTTAGAATTTGAATTGAAAACTACATAATAGAATTTCTTACTTTATTTTGCTCAGAAAGCAATAATATATACAGCTCATTATATATTACAAATTACAAATAATTTTTTGTTTTTGTTATTTACAATGAAATTTAGCATCATACTTATATCGTTTATATTCTATTGTCTTTTCAGAATTACCATTTCCCGTAGATTTGAGTACAGTAAAAGAAGATCACCCTTTTTTGGATCCGGATTCATTGCGTTCATTATACAGAAGACTTGGAGTCCTAAATCGTTGCGCTTTATTGAAGCTTGAGTCGCAGCAAAAGGTATTTGTCTCAACTATTTGAATATTTTTATACTTTACTTAGAATTAAAATATCTTTATATGTGTATTTGCGTTACGTTGTTCTGAAAGTTATTTAAAATTTAAAAACTCTCCTTCGATTAACTCAGGTTGTTAGGTTATAATTTAACCCTTGTAGCTGTGGACTGTATTAAACACTGATTTGTTTTGTATGTGTTACAGATTTAATTACAATCACTAATTTGTTACTAAGTTATAATAAAAGATGATATATTTAATTACTAATTATACATGTTGTTTCGCGGACTTTTCTTATAGATGTGAACAATTAGTCCTATCTAACTCTCCGCTACCCCCTCTACTAGGGGCGGCAACCATTCCGTGTAAAAGCTCAATGCCATGAAGATTGTCACCTTCATGGCCAATATAATAAAATGAAAATACGTCCCAACAATATGTAAAACATAAATTGAACAATATTTTACATATAGATAGAGTTCTCTCTATATAAATACTAAATACTATAGTTTATACTTGTAGTAGACTGCTAAACTGATTCTGTATTATAATTTCATATAGTTTTCATCAGTAAATACGTAAAATACAATACATGTAAAGGCTCCGCCATCTAACTTTTTGTTTGGCACTCAGAATTTTTTGGCAACCATTTCAAAATTAGGCAGCCGTTCGATTGCAATTATTTGCCATTATTATCTGTCTTATTGAATTTTCAAATGCAAAACTAAATTTAAGAATATTTCAGTTGTTTTTTATAGCATTTTCAAAAAAAATTGTTTGTTGTTAGCCCTGTATATTTGTTTGTATGTGTACTTGATTTGCAAATATAAGGAGACATACATTAATCACGTGATCGATTTTTTAAGAGTTTTTCTCCCCTCTTTCCCTTTGTTTATACGTGGTGATATTCAAAATTACTCCCTTCCCCCACCAAACATTACGGTATTTTTAGTTACGAGAAAAATTGAAAAAATTTGATTTTTTTGAAAATGTAAATTTAAAAAAAAATCAGGTTTATTTCATAGAATAAATCTTATTATCAGACAAATTTTGTGAAATGATTCAGTTATATAGGTATAAGAATTTACTTAGTTTTGCTGTTTAATTTTATTGTAAATTGTTTTTCTCATGATTGATACATTATGTTTAATGCAACTTACATAGATGATTCGAGTGATTAATTATATAAAATGAGAACGTCTAAGATTTTTATTGCAATATTGTATGGCTATTAATCATATAAAATTATACGTTTTCATAATTATAATCTCAATAATGATTATTTTTTCTATTTTTTATCAAGGGTTTGATCATTCAGGGACTGTGCTTATGTCAACTATTATGTATTTTTTCAATATTATCTCATTATCAATATGTCGATATTTGTGTAGTTTTGAAAACTTTCTGGTATTTTGAAACGATAATTCATTTACATACTATTAAAATATTTAATTACATTACTTTATTAATTATTATTAATTTTCTATTATTTTAAAAGTCACATTTAATAAAAATTTGAATTATGTGCTTTATTTGTGATTAACTGCACTACTAGAACTTTTAGAAATATTGATGAAAATTTTGCTGATATACGATATATAAAAGGTACAAATGTAGTATAATTAATTCATAGGAAAATTAGTCCTTAAAATGTTTTATCTATAATACTAAAATTAAATTCATGACAATATTTGTTCAAAATATTTGTTAGAGTAATCAATTAAGATATTTCTTTTCTACTCCTCATAGTACTTCCTCAATTATTTCTTTGTTTTACATTATTTAAAGGCTATGTATAACAGCATGTGTTATTTCCATCATACTACATTATGAGGATTTCAAGTTTGAAGAATTCATAAATTAAACTTTTTAATTTTATTTAGTTTACAAATGAATTAGTTCCAGCAGATTACCTTGAGTTTCATTGTACCAACGCTAGGTTCATAACATTTTTATTTACCAATAGGCAATAATACCATACATCACTAGTTTTATTCATTATTAAATAATTGATCATTTACTTACTAATTAATTACCATAGATAATTATTAATAATTATTATTAATTTATTAACCTGGATCATTCTTTCATGTTTAGCACAACAAGCACGTGCCCGATTCAGTCTCTGGTCAATCTACGTCAGCATCCACAACGTCAACAACATCATCTTCCAGCAATACTACAGGAGCAACTTCCAAAGGGTGTGGTAAGGGTACTTTTGGAAAACTTTCTAAAATTGTCAATCAGTCGGATGATTCGGATGACGAAGACATCAGTTGCGCATTAAGCGAGGCCTGGACATACCAGCCACGCGAAAGGCGCTGGTCTCGCATTGCTGACGACGCAGGTAAATAGATTATGAAATAGATTATATATATGTGTGTGTGTTTCGTCGACGATTTCGGGAACACCGATCAACCGATTTGAATAATTCAAAAAACATTCGATTCGTATTGATAAGGAGACGTGCTGATTAGTTTTTTGCGAAGGCAGGTCTAGCCGTTCTGAAGATACGGGGCAAAAAGTGCCAAAAATGGTAACTCGTTTTTTAGGAGAACGGAGCGACCGATTTTACTTGTATTGACAAGATGAAAAACTGATTCAATTTTCACGAAGGCAGGTCTTGCGGTTTCGGAGATCTAATGAAAAAAGTAAAAAAAATGCCATTTGGCGGTCAAAAATGATCATTAGACATGTGCACATTAAATTATCAGATATTTTATAGAGATTTTAACAATAAGTATAAATTTTGTTTACATTCCTATGGGTTCCGTACCAATGTTTATCCGTTAGACGGCGACACATCTCTATGCAGTTAAAGCAGTACGAATGCTTTGAAAAAAAGTTCAGAATTTCCAAAATATGTCAAAATAAAGGAACCATTTTTTTTCAATATTTTTTTTGTTTTAAAAAAAAAATTTTTTTTTGTCAAATTTATAGTTTCTCAAAAACCTAATTTTTTCGAAGTGAAATTTTCTCAAAATTGTTAATCGTTTTTTAAAAAATAATAATTTTTGGTATGGGAAGCTTCAGCAGTTTGCCTTAACTGCACGATGCCATGCGCCCTACTAGTTTAGCTTTATTCTATATGGATTTATAATATTGTATTAATCAGGGTGGATTTCTACAAAATTATCAGGGCAAAACATTACTATGTACTTCATTTATGATGCTTTACTGCAATATGCAACTATGTTGTATCATAGTGTTAATAAAAATGATTATCTCATATTTTTTTTTGGATTAATATATGGCATAACTTTATTGCCAAGTCATTGTAATAGGTTGTCAAATATCTCCCTTCCGCCTTTTTGTATTATAAACCAAGAGCAAAAAAGCGGAAGGGAGATATTTGACAACCTAATATTTACTTTTATAATAGAATGCAAGAAAAAAACTGCAATTTGGATAAAAATAATAAATATTAAGGAATATATGATAAAGAAAATTGGTTCAACGACATCTTGAAACCCTACATATAATTATGGCATTTGGACAGAACACTTTGCTTTTACTATCATTACATACATTTGCTTTATTATCATTTGTTTAGATTTTTTCATTCTTCTTTCAATAGCAATCAGAACTTAAGGTTTTTTTAAGCCATTGTGATTATTTACCATACTTTTGTCGTTATGATTAATCATTTACCTCGGTTTTATTTTTACCAAAGTAGTTGCTCTATCTTTGTGTGATGTATTTTATTCTGGCAATTTCTGTAATTCTGATGTATTGTTTTAATTTTCGCTTGGAATCATATTACTATCAATATTTATCAGTATGCCAATGATATTACTGCTTGACATCATACCGCCCGAGACGGTATAGAATCTGAGACGTCTGATTAAAATCCCATAGCTCTAACCACTGATCCACAGGAGAGCCTTGTTTTGATTTATTGCACAAATTTTGTGAATACAATGTCAATTTTTTACAGTAGTAGTTACGACGGCGTCAGCTGCAGATGATTTTTCCACATCCGAAACCGGGCAGGGGCACCGGTCAGATACAAGTCCACTGTGCCAGAACAAGTGCCAAGATACGATCAAGGAGTTTGATCTAACTTCTGTCGTTTGCAACTTAGACGAAGAAGAAATTGCAGGAGCTGTTGGCGGATTGGGGCTAGAAGTTGGCAACGCGTAAGTCTAAATTTTATTCAGACATGTTGTTCAAAGATTTTATTTACAACACGAAGTATTCGCGTTTAGAAAGAAACATACTTTATTTGACGAATGAGATCATAATTGTGAATAAATTTGCATATGTAAACATTATTACGATCGTAGTTGAGATTGGTCAGTACCGTTAGTCCGTGTGATTCAGTGCCAAATAATAATAAATTATAAACATTTTATAATCTAACGCTATCAAGTATATTTATATATACAAACCCGACGAACTCCGTTTCGCCACCAGATGAAGAAATTTTCTGTTCGTTTTATATTTGAAAAGGAAAAAATTGATTTTATTACACAACAGTAATGAATTTATTTCGATTACAAAAAGTGTTTTTAGTTGAACTTCTCTAAGTAAATGAAAATGAATCCGCAAATTATCCGTTTCATTGAAGTGCTCTTTGGTAAACCACATTTTTTGTATTTTGGTCTGACGTTAACACAAACAAAGCGGATGGTTTTCCAACTCGTGAACAGGCAACGTATAACTGCCCATGTGAAAAACAATGATTTTCTAAATAATCAATTTGAAATTTATCAATATTTAATATCGATTATGCAAATATAATATAACTTATAGAAATTATTTTGCAAATATGACTTATTTAAAGAGTTTGCCTTGAATACAATTTTTTATGAATTAGTTGTAATATATCAATGATGAATACCAAGGGATTAGTTCACATATTAGACATAGATTCTTAACAATAATTGTTCACATTATTGCTAATATATTAAGGATAAGGTAAACTAAGGGGGCAACTTTCGGATAAATAGCTTTGTTACGGGTCTATTTTTGTATGAGTACGAACTATCAAAAAGCTATGTACTTGCTGTGCGATCAGACATTTTACTCATAAAATCTTATCTACAATTTTATCATCAGTTGATGTCTCTTTGATAACACATACATTAAGGGACCGATTCTGCCACCTAAAATGTTATTGCAAGGCCATTTTACGCTCCAACTTTCATACATTATGCTACTGAATCATACTGAATACTGTCAAAATGTCATGTATTCGTTATTCATTCAGGCGTTTTACACATAAACTGCAACGTCACTCGTATGTTATGAAGCTGTGTCAGAAAAACCCTGTTATCTAAGATCGTATTTTTTGACATTTGTGCGGTTTCTAGGTTAGGTTTTCTATCTGGCAACCTGAGAAATACACCTGACTGCATAGCAACCACAAGGTTTTGTCAATATTTAGTATGAAAAGTTCTTCATAACATAGCCTTGTCATAACATTGGTCTGTTATGCGACAGAATCGGTCATAAGTTAACATATAATCTTAACATTGTTAACCCAAACAGTGTTGTTTATTTTTTGGCTAAATAAAATAGTTTTCTGCAATTTTACAACAACTGATAATTACATGTGTCATTATCCTCTATTTAAGGAGTATAATAATTTACTCATTTATTTACATTAATGTGAATATAGGATTGGTTCGTTCTTATTAAAATTAAAATATTTACAATAATGTGACAGATTTTTTTAATTAATCCTCATAATGTTTTGGATTTGAAATTAATTAATCATAAAAAATATGGTAAAATAGAAACTGTCGATCTAACAAGTGGTATTAAATATTTTAATGGATGGTTTGTTAGCAAAATATTGCTTGATTTCGAAATTAGCATGTTCAAAATTATCTCAGAATCTTCGGGATTTTGAATTGATGATAGTAATATTAAATTGGCGATTACTTAATTTTCTAATGTGGTAGTAAATAAAACAGTTATACTTCTAAGCCCTTCATGTGGTTTATTTAAAGTTGTAAATTTAAAGATTTGTTCTTTGATAGCCAAATTATTTATAGTACATAATTTCCATCGTTGTCTTTTATTTCAGGGCTTCATTGAAGGCTCGAAACGATTTATCATTCCCACCTCGTTCCGATATACCGGAATTTTTGCCTACCGCACGGCCAGGACCCACCATGTTGGCTGTACCTCATATTGTTGGCGCAGGAGACATTGGCAATATGGCTTCTGGTAGTAGTGTCACTGCTGCCACAGCAAACAATGGTGCAACTTCTCCTGCAAACACAAGTTTTCACAGGACAAACAGTGAACGCATCCGTGATGGAGCTAAAGCATTTCTCAGACACGTCGAATCATTCAAGACAAGACACCGCAAGAAACATCACAGGGATGGAGTGGTCATTGGAGATCCACAGGCTGTTGATCCTGTAGGGATTGAACAGAAGGTAATAAGAAAGAAAATGTTGTAAAATAATTGTTTAGAAACACAATGTTTAATTTGTTTTATTATAAATGTATTTATTATCAATTACTCGTAAATCAAGAGTTATGCAGTGTAGAGGCTTATGCAGCAGCAGATCTAATTAAGAGCAGTGGTGTTGTGCTAATATTTTTTTTTGCCGGAACGCTAAAATTTAAAATCCGGTTCATAAACCGGTTCAAAAAAATTGATATATTTCGATAAGAACTCACAAATCTAATATATTGACTTCTTATATAATTAACTCTATTATATACAACTAGTCTATACATTAAATTGTACAAGTATGAGGGAATCATTGAGTACATAATTTATATTCTTCAATGACATTAATTATATTTATTCTGGTATTATTTGTATTCATTAATACCTACAGGTATTTATTATGATATAGAAGTACTCAAGATTTGTTACAATACTTTATAAGACTTAACCTAATAATACGATAGATAACCTATTACCTATCATACTATATTATATTATTGTGTATCATCGATAGATATCTATTATCTATCATACCGTGAGATACATACACCGTCATTAACTTGTAATATACCTACAGACCTTTTACTTCTTATAAATACTACTGTCTAATTTATATATTCACCTATATTATATAGGTTTACCTTACGCCCTATGTATTATCTCTACCTATCTATTGTCTATACCGGGAATTGAACCCGGGACCTCCGCGTGGAAGTCGCGCACCTTAACCACTACCCTATCGGCTACCCCCATTAATAATATAATATGGGACGCACTGTTGTTTCCGCGGGACATTTTCTAATTAATTAGATAATTAATACTAAGGTGGCGCGACAACACGCGAAAAAAGACGGTTGATTGTAGCGTTACGGTGGCCGAGTGGTTAAGGTCGTCGCGTGCCACGCGGCGGACCCGGGTTCGATTCTCGGTAGGGTTAATGTGTAATGCGTGTGAGGGACATTATAGGTAATAGGATATATAGTAGATATAGGTTAGGTGTATTCGGTACACAATGTAGGGATTTGAGAGTATGTGATGAAATATAGCGTATGGTATAGATGTAAGGCGTGTAGTATAGAATGCAACGTATAGGCATACGTAAGCCTATAAAAATACACGAATAGGAACCTATGATGTAGGTGTTAGCGTATAAGAAATGCGAATGAATGTAAGATTTAATTTATAAATATTATGTTTTCTATAAGAAGTTCATACACCTAAATTACAAACGACTTTGATAAAACCAGTGGTGTTGTGCTAATATTTTTTTGCCGGAACGCTAAAATTTAAAAACCGGTTCTAAAACCGGTTTTCATGTTTTTTCCAGTTCCGTTCGAAAAGGAAGAAACAAAAATTATTACAAAACCCATTTTGTGCACATATATGTATGTTTATTACAATAATAACATTTAATAAAAATTAGTTGGATAATAACATATAAAGTTTACTTATTAAATCATTTTCTGTATGTAGCGATTTTTTTATATTTTTTCTTGCCGGAACGCGTTCCGGCTCAAAAATGATTTGCCGGAACGACGTTCCGGCGCGTTCCTGCTCGACAACACCACTGATTAAGAGGGTAGTGTAGAGGCGTGAATTTTAGGTCATTTTTAAATCATGAGAAATAAAGGCAATCAATTTTTAAACTATTATCTTTTCTATAATTTCTTTATCAACGATTAAGAGTACAGAAAAAAATAAAACAAAAAAAGTTAATTTTAAAAATTAGCAGTGGATAATGTGGGGGTTTCAAAAAGTTGACACATATGGCCATGCCCACGATTGCAACTCTCCTAGTAATCTGGAAAACTAGATTGATGTCGCACTGATATATACTAGGATTAAGTGAAAAAATATTTTTTTTGACAAAATGGTGACTGTTCGAAAAAAAGGATTAATTCTTTTTTGAGTTTCTCGATAATATAATTTGGAGATGAGGCTAGTATATGCCTGAAAGAAGTCTATAGAAAAGATTTCTCGAAATTTTCAAGTAAATCGGTTCGGTAAAACTCGAGAAATCATGGGCATCATATTGAAAAAGACAGTTTTGAGATAAACGCGTTTATAGTTGCGGAAAATAAAGGAAACAGATGAGAGTTATCGTGTTAAATAAACAGCTTTATCTCTGAAAATAATTTGAATTTTCAAAAATTTCCTTGTGTAGATACTCTTAAATAATTTTGAAAATATAAAAAAAAACTGTTTCTACGCTAGAATACCCCCTCAAGTGATTTTGTTATAGCTTGAAAAAAAAATTATTTTGTTGCATTAATATTAAATATTTGTTTTTTAAGATAACTTTCTCACTATTTTAAATCTCATATCATTTTTGTATGCGTTCTTTTGTAGTCGCTAACGCATAATTCTAAATAAATTTTTGCGGTTAACTAATTCACAGTTATTCAATAATATGTTCTACTAATAAAAGTAAGTTTATCAAAGATCGTGCTTCTAGCAAAGATCAGGTCTAGTACTCAAAAGTGTCGAATAAGTCACAAAAATATTTTTGTCAAAGCTTCAATATATCAGTTATCCAAAATCTGTTATATTTGTTTCTTATATTTTTTTATTTCACAGTTATCTGATCTACAGTGCATAGATATCTCACCAACTCATCTGAATCAAGGAAAATTTTTATATGCTGATGATACTTCAAGTTACTGCTCTGAGGGCAGTCAAAGCTCTATAAATGGCCTTTGTAAAAAAATGAACAACAGTGTACTTAAAGATCAGGTAATAATATAATTTTGGAAAAGCTTGCGCTTTTCATCGCCCTTCCTTGTCATTTATGGTTTTCAAATTTTTAACGTCCAATTTTTGTAACTGAATATGAATAGTTTTATGGTCTTCGATATTATTTTACTTTTTTGATTATATGTATTAAGATGCATTAAATTATAATTCTAAATTATTTATTTAGTCCGAAGGGAGAACAGCCCGTATTAGCAGTGCCAATCCCAGGACGAGACGTTTCTTGGAGCCCCAAGACGCTTCAGCAAGCGAAGGTGCTTCCTCGTGCTCCATGAGAAGTGAGGACACCGGAGCTATGTCTGATTCAGATTGCCATCATTACTTCAGAGACGCGAACAGTAATCACACTGGCAAGGTTTGTTGATTTTACAAAGAAAAACTATACAGTGTCTCGATTTGCGTTGTTTTCACTCTGTGTCGGTAGATTTTTGAGGTTGCGTTGTTTTAATCTTAGAAGACAGACAAATAAATTGCTAACCTTGCTTAACTAAAAATTCATTAATGATAAACTACTATTACCATTTTCCATTGTAGACTAGAAGTTCAAAAGAATAAAAATTAACTTTTTATAGGTATTTTATTGGCAAAATTATGCTATAAAAAATATAATTGATATAAAATGATATAAAATTATCAATAATTTCACTATTTTACAATCCAACTTTTGACGAAACTTGCCAACACATTTTATTACATTTTTTTAAAAGAGGGCCTTTTAAAGTCGATCGATTTAAAAAAATAAATAAATTCATAGTCCAATAAAATGTCTTAATTCTTGAAAATTTGGGACAATTGTGTTATTTTGTTTACTGTGGTTCTAGAAATGTTATTCACGGTTATGGTTCCAAAGTTTGAATGAAAAAAATTGATGAAAATTAACCACAATAACCGAAAAATGGTCATAATTTTACCAAAGCTGCACTTAAAAGCTCATAATTTTTAATGAAACGTGAGATAATTCTGACAGTTAAGATCAATACTATCACACATTTCGGCTCGGTGTTAAGGTCTGGGACACCAGACACTTCTGGGTATAATAGATTAAATAACAGAACTACTTGATTAGGGGTCGTTCATTAATCACGTGAGCGAGTTTTCAAGGATTTTTGGACCACCCCCTTCCCCTTAGTGATATATAGTAATATTCAAAATTACCCCCCCTCCCCCACGAAATATCACGTGTATTTTTAGTTACCTGATAAAACTGTAATTTTTTTGATTTTTATTGAAAATGTTTAATTTTTTTCAAAGAAATTAGTTAAAAAATAAATACACGTGATATCTTACAATACCCCTCCCTCTTTCACGTGATATTTTGTGATTTTTTGTCAAACCCTCCCTCCCCCTAAAAACCTCACGTGATTAATGGACGCTTCCTTATTGCAATGAATTGAATATAAAGTTTAGAAAAAACTGTTTTTTATACAAATAATGGTAATGATTTTCAAAACAAATATTAGAAAATTAAATCGATTATATTTTTTGTAAAATCTGTTTGCTTAGTTTTAAATTCCCTTATCATTTTTATGTGGATTTCATATGTCAATCTATTCATGTTAATTTTATTTCCTTAGTTCATAAGACTGGGGGCCCATTAATCGGGGCGCCCATTAATCACGTGATCAAATTTTAAGAATTTTTGTACTCTCCCTACCCCTTGCTGATACGTGGTGATATTTAAAATTACCCTCCCTTGGCCTTCAAACATCACGTGTATTTTTAGTACCTAGAAAAAATTGTAAAATTTTAATTTTTTTTGAAAAACTTAGGATTTCTTCTAAATTGAAGTGAAAAATAAATACACGTGATATCTTACTAATTTTTTTTCTTCTTCGCGCCATATTTTGTGATTTTTTGACAAACTTTCCCTCCCCCTCTAAACCTCACGTGAATGGACGCCCCCTTATCTGATGGCACAATGTTATACACCACTGGCTTTGTTTTGTCTATATCTATAAACACAATTTATTTGCAGAAGGAATGCTCAACATTAGATCGCAAAATCTGTGGTTTCGGCTCTAAGGGACGCAAATTAATGCGAACCGGATCCCTCACGGTGAAGACACGGCGAGAGCGCGATCAAGAGCGGGAGGATGCTGCTAACGGGAAACAGCGACATCGGCGGGACAGCGATTCTAATGCTATTGGTAGTGCGCCGCGGCGATTATGCGAAGATATCGCCGCTAAAGCTTTTGGGTAAGTAAAAGTAAAAATTTCTTAGTTTTTTAGAATTTTTAGAATTATAATGAATCATCACTACGTTCTACGTAAATGTTTTGACTTAATTCTTTAGGAACGGAACGTTTTGAAGTGAACCGTACCGTGTTGCCGAGCTCTCCTGCCACGACAGCTTTTGAAACTTACCATCACATATTTATGGCATTCTAACTCAAATTCTAGTACTCCAAATTACTCCAATTCTAGTACTCACATTTTGGACATACTTATATATTATATTTATATACACAGCTTTTCCACATGATAAATAAAATCTTAATTAGTTTATTAATTTCCCGTAGGGCAAGTTATAGTAATCGCAAAAAAATCGAAAATGAAAATTTTTATATATCTTTACGTTTCAGAGGTTTCTGAATATTTTGGCATACCTTAGAAAAAATGGATGTATGTGTGTGTGTGTGTGCGTGTGTGTATGTATCTGCGGATACAAATTTTCGTCGACGATTTCGGGAACACGGATGAAGCGACTTGAATAATTAAAAAAACATACGATTCGTATTAATAAGGAGACGTGCTAATTAGTTTTTGGCAAACGCAGGTAGAGCCGTTCCGAAGATATGGGGCAAAAAGTGCCAAAAACGGTAACTCAGTTTTTAAGGGAACGGAGCGTCCGATTTTAATAATTCAAAAAACATTTTACTTATAATAACAAGATGAAAAACTGATAAAATTTTTATGAAGGCAGGTCTAGCGGTTACGGAGATCTAGTAAAAAAAGTGAAAAAAATGCCATCTGGCGGTCAAAAATGATCATTAGACATATGAACATCAAATTATCAGATATTTTATAGAGATTTTAACAATAAATATAAATTTTGTTTACATTCCTATGGGTTCCGTACCAATGTTTATCCGTTAGACGGCGACGCGTCGCTTACACGCTTCGATATTTCGTCTCTATGCAGTTAAAGCAGTACGATTGCTTTGAAAAAAGTTCAGAATTTCCAAAATATGTCAAAATAAAGAAAACATTTTTTTTTCAAAAAAAGTAATTTTTTGTCAAAATCATCGTTTCTCAAAAATCTAATTTTTTTTAAGTAAATTATTTCAAAAATGTTAATCGTTTTTAAAAAAATTGTAATATTTGGTACAGGAAGTTTCAGCAATTTGCCTTAAGGCTAGATGTCATGCGCCCCACTAGTTAACTATTCAGTTTGGTTTATTAACATTAATCTTCTCCTTCTCGTCTATCGATATGTATTTAGGTGGGACACAAATATTTGATTGACACTCGGCTCTAACAACTGCCTTCGCTAAACTCATATATATATATGAGTTCTTCATTCAATTTGATGATTTGCGTAAAACGCATATATGCGGCGCTCGTTCTCAAATTGTTAATTACTATCAGGCTTTCTGACAAGATCAAAATATGATACATCCTAATCCTAATACAGTACATCCTAATAATAAACAAAAAGTTTTTTAAAGTAATATTTATTACGACGTTTTGAAACAAGTAACGTGCTATTACCAGGATTTAAGACAAGAAATACAGTGGTACCTTGCACAACGTACGCCTTTCATAATGGACGCAGCGCATAACGAACTTTTTTCTTAAACTCAAACGCTTCGCATAATGAAATTTGTTTTACATAACGAACTGCATCGTTGTAATTGACTGTAAAAATGAGCCCTTAAAGTTGCTCTTTTAGATGCAGTTCAGATTTTAAGAGTCCACAATGGATCAAGTTTTATTAAATTTTAAATAGTGCACGGTGGATATTTTTTCATACACTGTAAAAGTTTACTTGTTAATGGAAAGGCACATACGTTTTATATTTTACGAATTTCAGTTACGAGCATCACCGCATGCCATGGCACAGCTTCGACCAAAAACCAGCTCCTGTAGAGAAGGCGAAGGAATATAAGCCTGAGGTTAACATTGCAAGTACATCTTCAGAGACGAGCATTGAAATTGCTGCTCCATTTATCATTAATCTTGAAAACTCGCCGCCGATTGATTCACTTTCATGCGGCCAAATGCACGTTTTGAAGAAGGTTGCTTTGTTAACTTTGACTGCTTATATGGAGAAGTTTTGTCCGACTCACCGTTCTGGATGGAATTGGGAATTGCCCAAATTTATTCGCAAGACAAGGCCCAATTACAAAAGTAAGTCATTGTTTGTTTTATCTTGTAAATGCTCGTGAGTCGTGGGTTATGTTTAGAAATTAAAAATAACTTTTTCCGTAGATAAAGTTGCGTTTGGTGTTCCATTATCCTTAACAATGCAACGCACGGGTCATGCTATACCAAAATGCATTCTGAAGGCCTTTGAGTGGTTACAAAATAATGCTTTAGAACAAGTGGGCCTTTTCCGAAAATCTGGAGTTAAATCTCGTATTCAGGCACTGAAACAATTGATAGAAACACAGGGTGACGATGTGTCTTTTGAAGGACAACAGGCCTATGATGTTGCAGATGTCGTAAAACAATATTTCAGGGAGTTGCCAGAAGCATTGTTGACTTCTAAATTTTCTGAGACCTTCATTTCTATTTTCCAAGGTGAGTGAAATAGATAAAATATCGTTATTTTTTAAATAAGAAATCATTTTTATTTCAAATAATATTTATATAATTTCTTATTGCGTTTGTTTCAAACTCTAATAATTCTGAATTAGATGAATGTTTTTGAATATAGAACACATGCATTAGTTAGTAACATTGAAACAATATTAATTTTGTTATGAATTTAACTTTAAACTTTGATTAATAGTTGTTAGTTTGTAATTGGTAATAAAACTTGTTTTTGAACATCGCGTATTTAACGACTATCTGTATATCTGTATTTTTCAGAAATTGTTCAGAAGCGAAAAAGCTCAAACATCTTTCGTATTCATTCATTTTTCATATTTCACATTCGTTTTATTACAACTTTACTTGAAATATTTCAAAATGTTCATGTTTTGTTCATGTTTAAGTATTATTTTTGAGTTGACAGTACAGTACTTTAATTATTTTTTGCACATTACCTATGTAATATAACATTAGTTCGACTTCTCGCATGTGTTATTTTAAGTGCAACAATTTGTTGCGCCTAAAAATAAAATAAGTGCGAGGTCGAACTAATGTTATATTTTGACATTTGTACCATTTGGAGGTTGGGTTTTATTACTTGATTTTGTGTAAAACGCTCAAATAACATAGCTTTCTGATAGTTTCTCGGTTACTCAACATAAGAGATCAACATACGAGAATTGGCCTATAATCCTTTTGCTACGAGTGTCGTCTATAGGCGATATCCGCTTGACGACCTTTATGTACGAGTGTCGTCTATAGACGACATCGAGCATGTCGACTTTTTCTTCAATATTTATTACTGTGAGTTGAATTATTGAGAATTCTATTTTTTCAATATAATATTTAGTTCTTTGTAAGTGTAATTCTTAATTTTTAAATGAATTTTTATCGATAATGATTGGAAAATCTTAAAATATGTTGTGTAACAAATATTTGGGTAGCTGGTTGACTTATACAGGAGTGTCACTTCTACGCAAATCACTCGTAGCAAAAGAGATAATATGTGGAATATATTAACGCACATTTTAATAATCGGTCGTTCATATCCAACCCTTTCCTACGAACGTTTTATGTTATTTGCTTAGATGTAATCAAAACTGAGGCTTATATTTCGAAGTTATTAAAAAAAATCTATGTAAAGTTTCAACTCTAGACGTTCCAGAAAGTAAACAACACGAAGCCCTTAGCTGCGTCCTATTGCTCCTACCAGACGAACATCGGGAAGCTCTTCAGGCCTTATTAGAGTTCTTAGGATTAGTCGCTGAACAAGTGCACCACAACCAGATGACAATTCGCAATATAGCAGTTTGCCTGGCACCTTCCCTGTTTCATTACGCCCACAAACATGGCTACAGCTATTCCCTGGCTTACAATGGAACGCCAACTAAGTCTCCAAGGCGCAAGAAAGGCTCAGGAATTCCAGACGCTAAGGAGCTGAATGCAACGAAGGCATCCCACGACTGTTTACAATTCCTCATTCAAAAACATAAAACATTATTTAGAGTCTCTGAAGAATGCATGGAAAAGGGCAGTTTTAGCTACATGGATCAAAGTATTCCACTGTTCCGCGAGCAATTGGGTTCTGATTCTAATCAATCTTGGCTAACGTACCAATATGAGTGTACTAATGCGTTACTGAAAGAGGCCAGAAAGGAGTAAGTATTTGAACAAGTTACCTGAATACCTATAAGCAGAAACTTGCATTCATTTTTTATTGCTATCAAGTTAACAAAATAGATGTTAGAAGCTCCGAATCCAATTTTTATTGCTAAATAAATTCTTTTAAATTAGAAGCGATCAAATTTTGAATCATATTAGACGAAAATATTAAGTGCTATACTAAGTAAATGGTCATTAGTAAAAAAATATTCTGTTGATGTTTTCTATATTAAAGATTTGTGTTCCAATAGATAGAAACGCGTTTAGTTTCGAATTATATTCATCTAAATTACGGAGGCGCAAACAAAGAAATTAAATAAAGAACTTCTCAGAGCGCACTCAAAACTATTGTAATTTCAATATACAATTATGCAATCTATCTATTGTATCATAAAAAATTAAAATTATTATTTATCTAAATGTGTTATTACACCATTCTCATCACAATTGTTTAATTGTTTAAACGTGCCTGTATGGATACTTCAGTGAGCGTGTTTGAATTATATCACAATAATTTCTTTTTTAAGTGTAATGGATTTAATAATATTTGACTCGAAGTTTGTCCTGTTTTATTTTTATGGCAGCAGCACAATGCGTCTACGCAAAGGAAGATTTCTATTATTATTGAGATCGTTCTGTATTTCAGGGATTAAAAGGTAGCTCGATTCATGCTATCAAAAATGTTATCATATTCAGTTCAGGTTTAATTATAACTTAAACTCAAATGTTGATGCTCTATAATAATTTTAAAAATCATATTTTATTTATACAAGATAATTGGCCTTAATTAAGCGAGAATTTCAAAAGATTATTGTAAGTTTACCAATTATCTGAACTGTTTATGTGAATTATTTTATTTGCAAAATGTTCCCATTTATTATACTAGACCTAATATTTTCAGAAGTCGAGGTTGGACGTCTTTTGTTCACCCTTATGATCCATTAGTAGATGTTACATTTAAGAAAGTTGGAGATGGCCATCCATTACGTTTGTGGAAGGTCACCACTGAAGTTGAAGCTCCGCCTCAAGAAGTTTTACACAGGTTTATTTTTTGCAAAAACTTTGTAGTCAAAATCATTTATTAAATGATAGTCTTATTTTATAATAACTATATGAATATTTGCAGTATACTGAATGAAAGAAAGGTCTGGGATCCATCGTTGATTAGATCTTTTGTTGTGGAACGGCCTGTGGATCATTGTGATGTATTTTGTTATACAACTGCAAGTATGGCTTCTCTACCTCCTAGAGAATTTTGTGTTTTGAGGTAAAATTTTACTTATAGATAATAATAAACTAGCTGTATCTGCCTGCGACTTTGTTTGCGTGGATTTTAACAAAAAAGTTAAAAGTATTTTTATTTTAATTGCAATTTACTTTTAGTTTTTTGCGTTAGCATTTTTTACAAACTTCTTTATATATAATATAATGTGTATATATACAATATTTGATGTACGATTTATTTATTGCGCTAATACAACTCTTTTGGTCTTTCTCATGTTTGGAGAGACTTGATTTGACGTTCTGCTAATCATACCTAATAGATGTACATTTAAAAAATTAAAAGTCTAACTTTTATAAATATTTATTTTGAGAAAAGACAACTATCAACGCTACTAACTAATTAAAATCAACTATGAATAATTGATAAATTTCAATGCAATCTTGAATATTGAAGACAAATGCACTTAATTAACTTCCCATGGTAAGTTATAGTAATCACAAAAAAACGAAAATTAAAATTTTTATATATCTTTACGTTTTAGAGGTTTCTGAACATTTTAGTTTTAGAAAAAATGATGTATGTGTGTGTATGTGTTCGGATATAAATTTTCGTCGACGATTTCGGGAACACGGTACAACCGATTTGAATAATTCAAAAAACATTCGATTCGTATTGATAAGGAGACGTGCTGATTAATTTTTGTACAAGGCCAAAAATGGTAATTCGATTTTAAGAGAACGGAACGTCTGATTTAAATAATTCAAAAAAAAAAATTTACTTGTATTGATAGAATGAAGAACTAATTAAATTTTTGGTAAGGCGGGCCTAGTGGTTTTGGAGATCGAGTAAAAAAATAAAAAAGTGCCATTTGGCGGTCAAAAATGATATGTCTAATGACACATCACATTATCAGTATTTTATAGTGATTTTGATAATAAATATTTTTTAATTTTATTTATTTAAAATTTGTTTTTTTCTATGGGTTCCGTATCATTGTACATTCGTTAGACTGTAGCTAAAGCAGCCCGATTGCTTTGAAAAAAGTTCAAAATTTCCAAAATATTTCAAAATATAAAAAAATCATTTTTTCAAAAAAGCCAATTTATTTCAAAAATTTCAAAATTCTCAAAAAATTAATTTTTTCAAAGTTTAAAAAAAATAATAATTGTTTAAAAAATTAGTTTTTGGTATGGAAAGTTTCAGCAATTTGCCTTAAGGCACGGTGCCATACATCACTAGTTTGTAATTATTACCGTAATATCGCTCACAGCCCGCATGCAACGCGCGTCGAGAGTAAACTCCTCGCTCGTATTGAAGTGGTTAAATGAGGAAAAATAGTAAAAATGTAACAAAATAGTTTGAATTAAAATAAGATATAAGATACAAGGATATATACAAGGTTATTAAAATATTTTTAATTAATATAAGATCAGATAAAATGCAAAAACCAAACTACTTAAATTTTTTCAAATTTTACGCGAACGAAATCTCGGGTACAGCTATATGAGATAATGTAACTTAATATAAGAGAAGGCATTTTTTCTAAAATAGAAGAAGCCTAACTTACGCCGTCAAAATCGGTCTAGCAGTTTTGGAGATTAGTCCAAACAGACATAATTTTCTAAAGATGTTAATTTGGTGTATGCTATTTACATTCATATAAATGTATTATAAAAGGGCTATTTCAATATTAAAAACAGATGCATTCATTTTATTTACATAATTTCTATGGATGAGTCAAAGCTTAAAGTTCTCTTAATTTTATGTAGATCATGGCGTACTGATTTGACTAAAGGTGCTTGTTGTATGGTTGAAACTTCTGTTAAGAGACCAATGACCTACACAACTCCACCAGGCACACCAAAAATCGAACATTCCAGTTACGGAGTGATTACAGGAGTTGTACTAGCTTCCAGATACTTTATTGAACCTTGCGGCAGTGGCAGATCCAGAGTCATGCATTTATCAAGAGTAGATACAAAGTATGTTAGAAATAAAATAATAATAATTGGCCAAATCACGGATAAAATTGCTGTGTTATGTTACAGGACTCTTTGAGTAGTCTAGTCGCATGAGTTGGTAGTCTCGAAACTGTATTTGTATTCGAGCGTTTTATTGTTTATAGGTACAACAATTTGTTTTGATGGCTAGATTTTAGCAGTTAAGATTTTGTAAAACACTTGAATAAATTGGCCCATAGGCCAAACCGTTAGAAATTCGAAGTTGCAATATATGGAAGAAAAACTAAAAATTTTGAGACACTGCAAATGATGTATTTAACTAACAATAAGAATTTTAAGACGATTCTAATGATATATAATGCTTGAATAGTTGCTTAAATCTATCCCTACTTTGCATTTAAACATCTAAATATTCACACATATTCTATCCTACAACCTATACGATAACAGATATGTAAAAAGTTTGTTTGGATGAAAGATTAAAACAAGAATAAAACGACATATAATTCGATATGTGTGTTCATATAATTTTCTTGAGATTTTCCAATTATCCTAATTTTGAGATGCTTCTAATGATATATATATATACTTAATCATAAGAGACCAGTAACATTACATTACTATTTTATTTGTGAATTGGCTCACAAGTTACAAGAGAAATAATGCAATTAAAACTTATTTCTTTATTTACTAGGGGAAGAACTCTGGAATTCTATACCAAAATTTATGGACACGTTTGTGCTGACCAACTTACAAACTTGAGAAAAGCGTTTGTTATTAAATCTGAGGGACCTGAATCAAAAGTCTAAAGTTTTAAGTATTTACTATTAATATGTTGTTCTATATTATAAAATATTTGTTGTTAATGTTAAATGTTTATACTATTTTATTATATATTTATGCATTTTAAAGATAAATTTGAACTTAAATTTAATGTGTAACAGCTGTTAACCACAATGGCTTTTTATATATGAGAAGATTCTTCATAGGCTCAACATTTATATACGAGATCATGAACAATCTTTTGCATATGTACTTATTTTAAAAGATCATTCAAGTCAACTAAATGTCATGTTAGTTGTTTACAGTAAAATACAATATCAAGAGCATGCTGGAAAACAATTTTGATGTGAAAATGAATGTGTCGATGTGCTGTATGTTTATAGTTGTGGTATAACTAACATCAAATATTAACTAGTCAAAATATGATATAGGACTAGAGCTAATGAAATGTCATAATTATTGGTTCAATATACATATTATTAATTGTACTATATATAAGTGTATTATAGGAAGATGAAAGACCAAATATTAAAAGAGGCTCTTAAATTTTATTTGAACGATTTACAGTAGCTTATTTAAGAACATATTGAGCAATTATTATAAAATAATTTTAAATAATCTTTCCAATCTATATATATATATATATATATATACAGTAATATATATTAATATATTTTACACATCACTTGTATAAATTATTAGATAGGTTTTTTAGAAAAATATTCATAATTGAATTTATTTATATTGCTTGAAATTGATTAAAATCCAATATATTCAAGGAATCGGGCTGTGTATGTAAAGAATTTATTGATAATTCAGATAAGTCTAAGTAAATGTAATATTTAGAATAACCAGTATTATAAAATGAGATGAATATATATAAACAAATTTATATATATTTACTTTTAAAAAAGCTTGTTTTTTATACAGCAAAAGAAATTTATCTTTATACAGCGAAAGAGATATCAGACAAGCTTTCAATTTTCCTTGCAAAACAGGAAAATATATTTTTATATACATGTCTATCTACTCATTGTCTATCACTGTTGCGTATTGTGTAAAAAACATATATATTAAAATTAAGGCATATCACTAAAAAGTATAACAATTTAAAGAGTTTGTATTTAACGGAATATATTTTAAATTGGAAAGTGAAAACTAAATGTTTATTTATATTTAATCCTGTACCCTTCCTGATGATGATTTACAATCTAAATTTACAAAATATTGAAATAATATCAGTAAACATTTTATGAAATACTTGCAAATGAAAAAATACATATTTTATTAACAAATTTTATTGGTGCTTATTATATATGACTATTTTCTGAAATCATATATAAAAAAACTAAAACAGCAACATCAAGGGGCAGGAGAATGTAATAATATACCAAACAATCCCACTAAGCACTTTACGCTTGATGTTAACGTATAAGAAAATCTATAACATGGCTAAATTAAAAACATATGTTGTAAGAAATATGCATGTTTTACCTTTTATATGGTAAAAATATTACAAAAATATATTTATGTACCAATATATACCTATATATGATTAAGAAAGGAATTATAATCAAATCAAATAATGTTATTATTGAAACTAAATTGAATAGATTTAATTTATTGCACCTAAGTTTTATTTCCATATGTGAATGTAATTTGAAAAACACGAATAAATGTGATCAAATCAACATATGGTCTTTTATGCACATAATATGTATAGTATTAATTTCATAACAAATTACTTTTTTGGAGTATTGATGATATCAACTAAATATGCGTAAAGTAGATCACAATAGAGTTTTTTTAATATTATTATGAAAGATATAAATGTTAGTTGGCTTTTATCTTTCATAAAGAACTTCTTCACACTAAGTTCTTCTGTTCAGCAATGCACACTTGCTGAACACAGGGCCCCACAAATATCTTTTTAATTAATTGAAATAAATGCAAATAAATTAATTGAAAGCAATGCACACTTGCTCAACACAGGGCTTTGCAAACATCTTATTATAAAATATATTCGTATTAAAATTAATTGAAATAAATGTGGATGAATGATTTGAAAAACTAGTGGGGTGGGTGGCATCGTGCCTTAAGGCAAATTGCTGGAACTTCCCGTACCGTAACGAAATGTTTGAGGAATACCGAATGTTTTCAAATAGATTATTATAAATATTGTAACATTGTCTAATATTTATAAGAATTATATAAACTGAATTGCAAAGTTGAAATTATTTGTTTAAAGTATACTAGAAGTATAGTCAGAATTAAAAATAAAATCTGAATTATTTTCGATATACAAAAAATTAAAAAAAAAAAAAAAAAAAAATTAAAACAAATTTTTTTTTTCCAAAATCAATTATTTTGTTAAGACAAGCAGAAAGTTTTTTGAATCATTCAAATCGGACGCTTATTTCTCTCAAAAACTGCCATTTTTTACATATTTAGCTCCGTATCTTTGAAATGCCTGGGCCTGCCTTTGCCAAAAACTGATAAACACTTCTCCCAATCATTTCTAATTGAATGTTTTTTAGATCATTCAAATCGGATACTCCGTTCTCTCAAAAAGTCGATTTCTATTTTCTGCACTCTTTGCTCCGTATCCTCGAAACGGCTGGACCTGCCTTTGCCAAAAACTAATCAGCTCTTTTCCCTATCGATAGGAATCGAATGTTTTTTGAACCATTCAAATCGGTTGATTCGTGCACCCGAAAACGTGACTGTAAATTTGTATCCATATATACATACACACACACACACACACACACATACACACACACATCCGTTTTTTCTGAGGTATGCCAAAATGTTCAGAAACCTTCAAAACGTCGAGAAATGTAAAAATTTTCAATTCCGATTTTCGGCCCATTTCAATAACTTACTCTACGGGAAGTTAAAAATATTTAAATAATAAAAAATGTTTTTGGGGCACTTGATACTACATAATAATACTAAAATATTATTAATGTATAAGGATATTCAATTTACAAGTCACTTTACTAAACGCTTACATGCTTATAAATTTATTAATTTATTCAATACATTTCCTAATATGGTTTTGATTATATTGGAGAAGGTTTCTTGGAAATTTGTGTTTATATATATATATATATATATATATATATATATATATACTGTTTACTAAATTTTAATAAAAATTTGTAGGATTTAGTAAAAATAGACTAGAAGTTATTCCAGAAGATTTTGCATTGTGTTTGTTGATTTCTGTTTCGATTTGATTGTATATGTATTACATTATTATTTGATATATTCTTGTTATTATTGTATTTTTAAGAAAATAATTCGACTCTAATGCTAAATTTTGGTTCAAATAATCGATTAACAAAATTTATTATTTTTTATTTCTGTGCCATTAATTTGAATGCATTATGAGTGTGGGGTTGTCAAACGATAGCGATAATAGCTCTTCCTCACAATCTGAACAAAAAAATCAACAGTAACAAACGTCTATATGAATATATGGGATTTTGTAAAACTTACTGTGAAATATGATATGTATGTTACAGTATCTTATGTTTTGATAGGTATATGTATAACAAATTTAAGAATTTCATACTTGGCGCCAGAGTCTCGTGCGGCAAAACCATGAACTAAAAGGGGTTGCCAGCAGTGAGCAAATGCTCTAGCAAACTACTTCATTTTCATTTACTTTTTGGCGCGAAGCAGTAAGCGTCTAATAACAATTAGGATAACCTCCAAAGAGTTCGGTTGTGTATTAAGTGTCATATACTTGCCTCTTGGTTTTTTTTTTTAATTTAAATACGGTGGTGTTCTTTAGTGACAATTTGATATTGAGAATACGGTGTTCACCGATTCTTACAAATATTAACGGAGGTAAACAAATACACAGGCTCAGATAATAATAGATTACTTGAGCTACTTGAGCAATGTTAAATTTCGTAGTTATTTTCGAGACCTTTAGTGTGTAGAAAACTATAAGCACACACTAAGCCAAATATTATAATATGCATCAGTGTTAAACAGTAATATATATTGTTATAATATTTTACCGAAGTTATTTTAGTCTTGGTTGAACTTCGAAGAGAGCAACAGCTACAAATTATTTTTTCTCATAATGAGTGGACGGAAAGGAAGTACGAGTGGAAATGTTCATCCTGGTCGTAGTAAAAAAAGAAAGTTTAGTGGAAACCGTTTTACCCACCAAAATGATACGGTATTTACATCAGCTTCGGCCAAAAAACTTAAAAATAACATGAACATGGAGGTTCCCATCGCTTCGAATTTCGCATATTGCATTTTGGAGTTTGTTTCTGTATTTGCTGCAATCTCTGAAATAGTCATATGTAAAACTTGTAAAAGTGACGTGTCTATTTCGCGATCAAGTTTCCGAGGCCTAGGCTTTAAAATTATTTTATCGTGTGAGTGTGAAAAACAGACAGTTATAAACTCAGGCCCGTTGATCGGAAATGCATTTGAAGTTAATCGTCGGTTTGTATTTGCGATGCGATTATTGGGAGCTGGTCAAGAAGGAGTAAATCTTTTCTGTAGCTTTATGGACATGTGTTCGGGTGTTGCAAATTCTACTTATACTGCACTACTGGAAAACATTCATATGGCTACATCTTCACTGTGTGATACTTTATTGGCATTCGCTGTTACGCAAGAAAAAACTATGAATGAAGAATCAGGAAAACCACAGGATGAATTGACTGTGTCAGGTGACAGTACTTGGAAGAAAAGAGGCTTTTCATCTCTGCTCGGCGTATCTACGTTGATCGGCAAGTACACTGGGAAAGTTTTAGATGTCATGATCATGAGTAGTTTTTGTGGTGGATGTAATTTGTGGAAAAATAGAAAAAAAACAAATCTTTTAGAATACGAAATGTGGTATGAAATGCATGTAGATGAATGCACCATAAACCATTCCAGAAGTTCCGGTCAAATGGAAATAAGTGCCATCACGAAAATGTTTCTGAGGTCTGTAGAAAAATATGGCGTAAAGTATCTAACATACATTGGCGACGGTGACAGCAAAACTTTCAAGGGGATGCTAGATACTAAACCGTATGGAGATACTGCGGTAACAAAAAAACAATGTGTGAGTCACGTAGAAAAGAGGATGGGAACACGACTTCGGGCTGTTAAAAAGGATAAAACCAATAAAGGAATAGGAGGAAAAGGAGCAGGTGAACTTACTGATAAAGTTATCCAAGAAATTACAAAATTCTACGGATTAGCAATTCGACGCCATCCAGATTTGCTTGAAGATATGAGAAAGGAAGTTTGGGCAACGTACTATCACAAATGTTCTTCTGATCAAAACCCTCAGCATCAATTTTGTCCAGAAGGCGAAGACAGTTGGTGTAAATGGCGTAAGGCTGAAGCTAATAATGAACTGGACCAATTTCATCACGATAAATCACCTCTAATTCCGCAAGTCCAAGAAGCTATCAAACCGGTTTTCGAAGATTTATCGAAAGACGAATTATTAATTCGTTGTTTAGGAGCAGAGACACAAAACAATAACGAATCTTTGAATTCTTTGATTTGGACTTTCGCTCCTAAACATCTTCATTCTGGTCCCAAGATTGTTGAAATTGCTAGCTACTTAGCAATTATTATCTTTAATGAAGGTTTTCAAGGAATTTTAAAAGTTATGTCGATTATGGGATGCCCTGTTGGTCGTGAAGCCCAAGCGTATGTTGAGAAACGGGATGAAAAGCGAATCTTACGTTCTGAGCGGCGCGTAAGTGATGTTGTTAAACAAGCCAGGATTGACTCAAGAGCTGAACAATCTGCTTCAAAAGAGTTTCACGAGGAAGAGGAAGGAATACTCTATGGACCAGGCATCGTCGATTGAGAGTAAGTTGATATTTTAATAGTTTTTAACGGGCTTGAAACTTTAAACGCGTTTTTCTCAAAACTGTGTTTTTCAAACTTTCCTCCATTGTATCTCAGAAACGGCTGGACCGAATTACTTGAAATTTACAGGGCACACTCAATATATTTAAAGCCTACAAATTAAAACGCCGTTTTTTTTTTTTTTTTTTTTTTTTCAGATAAGCCGATCAGTCGGAATCGTGGAGGAAGTGGGAGCTCTTTTTTTCGAGGCGGGGGTGTTCAGAGCGCTGTAACTCTAGTTTGACTAAATATTTTTAGCTGAAATTTAATATTTATACTGTCCGACAGTATAACTATAAATACTATATAATAAACTACTATCATATTTGGACAGTATAAATATAAAATTTCAGCTAAAAATATTCAGTCAAACTAGAGTTACAGCGCTCTGAACATCCCCGCCTCGAAAAAAAGAGCTCCCACTTCTTCCACGATTCCGACTGATCGGCTTATCTGAAAAAAAATGAATAAACGGCGTTTTAATTTGTAGGCTTTAAATATATTGAGTGTGCCCTGTAAATTTCAAGTAATTCGGTCCAGCCGTTTCTGAGATACAATGGAGGAAAGTTTTTGAAAAACACAGTTTTGAGAAAAACGCGTTTTAAAGTTTGTAACTGCCAACTCAGCGCTCCGAACCGCTCTTTCTTTTACCTGCTGTATATTTAAAACGACTTCGAATTTTCTAAAATCGCTTTACTACCGTATTCTAGACATGTTAAGGGAGCAATTTATGAAAAAAAATCAATTTTTTCAACCCATCACATAAGAAGACCCCCTTAATTTAAAAAAGTCTAAGTTAGTAAAGCGTATTTTCGAAAATAACATATGATCAATTTGATGAAGTATTAAAAATAGTTATAAAACCGCATTTTATTACTTGAGTTTTGAAACTAAACTCATTATATATTTATCTCAGCGAAGTCCATTTTAAATTCATTTTGTTGCTCGATATATTAAGTTAAGCATAGGACGATCTGTTAATAGTATCACAAATAACAAATATATATTACGTAGTAAAAAGATATCTTTTAAAAATACAATAAAAAACAGTTTGTTCAAAAATATTTTTTCGAATTACAATTGCGGACTTTTAGTAAGATTTTTAACTCGATTATATGTTACAATCATATCTTTTACCATGCTTTTATATTATATCTTATATTTTTTTAATCTATTTGTTTTTTCGCATTTGAGACTTCTATAAAACTCTGTTCAATTTTCTTCATAATTAACTTGAAAACATTACTATTGACTTGTTTGTTTTCTTTTCTTTTTAATTTTATGAAATTAAATTTGTCTTTAGAATTTTGTATTCAGCAATTTTCTCATTCATAACGTTTCACAAGAGATAAAAAAAACATTGATTCACATAATTAATTTGATAAGTAGTTGTAATTTAATTTTAATTAAGAAAAAAGAAATTTTCATTAAGAAAATTTTAATTAAGATTTAAACCTGTACTTTTCAAAAATCCGGGACAAATATTGATTTTGAAAAAACTCGGATCAAAAGATGGAAACCGGAACTGTCCCGGATAAACCATAATTTAGGGGGTCCATAAATGTTGTAATTTAATTTTAATTAGGAAAAAAGAAATTTTCATTAAGAAAATTTTAATTAAGATTTAAACCTATACTTTTCAAAAATCCGGGACAAATATTGATTTTGAAAAAAAAAAACCCGAATCAAAAGATGGGAACCCGGTACTGTCCCGGATAAACCATAATTTAGGGGGTCCATGACAAAACGAAAAATATCGCAAGAGGTCCACGGCACAAACAAGTTTGGGAACCTATGATATATGGTAATAAATGAAGTGCTGTATCATATATGGTAATAAATTTATATGATATAAAAATAATGTTATTAAAGTAATATTTATTTGCTAATATTTCTTTCTTTCCAGAGAGACTGCTTTCTCGACAAATTGTCTATGTACACAGAACTCAAATGCATCTACTTCATCGCTTGCCTTTTTTTTTGTACATAAATCAGGTACGTCTACCCCCGTTTTACACGGTACTCATTTAACACGTTTCTGATCTTACATGGTTTTTGAAACTAATATGTTTCAACAAAATGTATTAATTTTGTATTTACACGAAAAAAATAATACACATACTACAAAGTGTATGTTACAGTTACAAATTTTTAGCAGACTATGTCTATGATGGTAATATGTAGATGAGATGTGAACTCAATGTTTTATGATTCAAACTAAAATATATATGTGTATGAGCTAGTTTGTTGAAATATCAGGAGAGCATAATAATTGTTCTTAAACTTTGTTAACTAGTGTTTATATATAATTGATAGTGTAAGTTTGTTCAAGGTGAGCAAATAACAGAATCATTTTTCACAAAATCTTTAATTTATAAAAAAAATATAGTTAGACAAGATGAAAATAAAAAACTTTAATGTAAAACAAAAGTTATATCTGTAAAAACTAATTTTGATTTTTATCTATAAAGAAAATGCAATATTGAAAATAGTTTTTTTTTTGTATTTGTTTTATTATTGAAATAAATTAATTTTCTTATCATTAGTTAAATGTTTGATATTAAATATATTATTTATTTTTGTTCAATATATTAGTTATTCGTCATATTAAAAAGTTACAAAAGGAGCTTTTTATAGTGATTTTCATTTAGCACAGTTTTCCCATATAAAAGTGTATACAATTTTTCGAGTGACACGTTTTTTGTGTAACTTATCTACCGTGTAAAATGGGGCATAGGTGTATATATAATCAATTTTATTAATTCCAAACATTAATTTTTTTGCAGGTTGATCCTCATTTGATATTGCTGTTCATACATCTATATTATATCAATTCTTTCCACCCTGCTGTTTCCCCTGAAGGGCAAGCATATCACTCGGCTCCCTCCTCTGAGACATACGACATTTTGTATATACAATGACTCAGTCCATTGAATACAATAGGTCAAGGATGATCAACCAAGTATTTCTAAAGTTAGTTCAAAATTCATTTCCTAAGATAGTTTTCTAAGCATTATTTATGAATTTTTGATTATTTTTTAAATATTGTATTTTGTATTAATATGTTCTACTATATATCCAGCTTTGTAAATGATTAAAAAGTGTGTCCCCTACAAAATTTTAAAATTTAAATACGATATGTGAAAAAGTTTACTCATTCTTAGAATAGATCTATGCAGTGACAAGTCAGTGTATTTTTTACCCTTTTTTATTGCAATTTTTTAATTTTGCTGAATACGGTAAAACGACCGAGCAATTCGCAAATTTATCAGAAAAGAAAGATAAAAATCGATATTATTACATTTTAAAGTTGAAGGATAAAAAAAAAAACTAAATAATTATAACAAAAGTGGAATCAGTCCAATATATCTTCAGAAATTGCTTCAATATTAACATGCTGCAGAAAATAAATTTAGATATTATTGTAAATGTATATTCTTCAAGATCCACAAATTCATATCAAACAATTTGCATAACATACAGAATAATATCATCAGTTCATGATTAGATATAATATTGTACTCATTTGTATCTAATAATGCAGTGTACATAAATCACCCTCTTCTTGTTAAAAATAGATTATGTAATTATAATTTAATTATTCTTATTCATACATGAAATAATTCTTTGATTTTTTTTACAGATGAACTTATATTGTGTACAGCTTGTATTTTTAGCAGTATTTGTAATTATTTTCTCCAATTTGATCCAGCATAATTTGAAGGAAATTTTATCAGGTAATTATTATTCAATTGATAGTTTTGTTCTTAAAATAATACTCAATACCATTACAAAGTAAAGGTATGAATGATGGATTAGATATGGTAAAAATACACTTAAACTGTCATTATTATTTATATATTGGTGCTTTTGAGTAATATAGAATTTATTCATTCACTCTTTTTATATTGCAGTTACTTTCTGAAGTTATCTATCTTGTTTTTCCAGGCACTTCCATGGTTTTTGAACTTTGATTAATATTTATTGATAATCAATTCAAGTAATATTGGTATATTCTGCAAGTATATTAATACTTAATTACTCACATTGAATGTTTTTTTTGATATGCCAATGATATTAAAAATCATGCTGTAATGGTTCATACTTGAAGATAATAGACACATTACCTTAGTTGGAATAAGCTCAAAGAGAAATGCTTAGGAATTGATTGATCTTTAACATACTTAATGAAGTAATATATAATCTATTTATATTATTATTTATATATAGTTGAGATTATTTTTTATTAATAAGCTCAAAGAGAAATGCTTAGGAATTGATTGATCTTTAACATACTTAATGAAGTAATATATAATCTATTATATATATATATATATATATATATATATA